TTCCTGTTAGCGCGGGCCTACTGTTCTCGTTATCGCGTCATCGAAAGCATCCCACCGTGCAACGGCCTGAATTTCTTCGACCTTGGCACGCTTCAAAAAAGCAGACCTGAGGACATCGAAGAAATTGGCGGAATCAATTATTCAGGCGTTAGAAAAGGGGTGCTCGTGGCGCGTGCCTTTCGGCTAGGCATGATTCATAAAAGTTTCAGCTTCGCCAGAATGGAAGCGTTAGACTCACCGTGGATCACAATTGGGCCATCACGTGCTTGAATAGAAGACAAATGAAAGGCCAAATAAAAGGAGATTCAAAAGGCTGTCATCCGGGGGTGAAGGGTCTACATTATCGTTCTTTGAACAAGTGTTATTTAGCAGTGATGATTTCCATGATAAACGCTAGGTGTAATTATTATTCGATAGTAGAGTTATTATTTACAACTTCCTTTGGCATTTATTTCTCATGAAACCTTCCCTCGATTATTCAGTATTTAGTTGTGGCAGGGAAATTGGAATACTCCAAACGATTAACAGTATCCACATCTCCTATGTCCAAGAAGATGGACTCAAACGAGAACACGATTCGTAACGCCTTACCATTGCCTCATTTTTCGTTCAGGCTCCTAAACAATAGTTTCGAGGCTTTCAAGGATTTCTGACCGAGAATAACGCTCGAAATGTCTAGAGATTGTCGTGACGCGATCAAACCTCAGAGGACTCATCGCCAACGAAGGATAACGCTATGCAAATTCTGTCACGATCGATTCACCGGTTCAACCGGAACCGGATAGCCGCGAGCACGCACGCGGTCTCGACGATCTTCGGAATTCGCGAATACAGACTCATTTAGGCTGAATGCGAGTCCATTAATTCCTTGAATGCCAGTCAGGGTTGCTTCTTCGGTGACGAATTTACTCCCGGCCCATCTCACGGCCAAACTGCCAGCAATTGGTTCCTTCTTCTACTGCTTCTCAATCACACTTCTAAAATAAACGATTAAACAACTTGTAACGCTTCGGCTGGGGGCTGTGATTTCTATTCTACACAAATTTTTTTTAGTAAAATTTAATAGATTTACAATTTAACGTGTACACTTTTGGGCGATGGTCAAACATTTTACGAAATTAGGTGCCGGAAAACTTCTCACAGCTTCTTTATTTTCCAGTCAGCCACTCTGTAACGCTGTTATCACAATTTAAAATGTAAATTGCTGTTTACCCGAACCTAAATGTACAACTATTTATGTTTTGTACAGGAAACCGACCGGATGACGGATGGGCGGTGATGGTATGGTTTCACGGAGGTGACTTCAACACTGGCACGCCAGCCATTTGGGATGCGTCAATTTTTGTCAACAAACAAAAAGTAAGCCGATCGTAAAGCATATCGTCTGATAGATAAGATTGTTGCTGCAACGACGATGAAATTTTACAAAATAAAATCGAACTGTCGATTAATCTCAACTTGTTACATTACAAAGAGACTGTTCTGAGAAATAAGGAACCGCCATTGATGTTCTGACCTTAGCACACATTCGCGGAAAGAATTTCTGATTCTGAATCAATGAGGCGAACGTTGAAAGTCGACAGAAAATCGAACGAAATTAGGGTGTTTCTTGCGTGCCACTTTCCCTCAAGGTAAATCCAACCTTTGGAATTGCACTGGCCGCGGTCCATCTATGATGCATGCTTTATATACAGCTATAAATGCTAATTCGGAACCTTTATGAGGAACTGTTACATAAAACTCTTACGCCTAACGCTACGAAGAGATTACTTGCGTAAATTTCCTTCAAAAGAATGCGTTTAACGAGCTCGTAAATTGTCATAAATACAACAGCGTGTTATATCGGGATCGTAGAAGACTTGATTTTGCAACTGGATTACTCGTACAACTTGTTTACGTATATTTGAATAACTCCTTGTGTATTAATAGCTGAACATGTGTCCCCAAATTCTTGAACCATCTGTTTATATTATCTTGAATACTTTACGGTCTCTTCTTAGCAGTATTTCAAGTTTAATATTCCTCTGTTCTCGCGAGCATTACGTGGCCCTAATTCTTCGACTCTTCTTGCGCATTAACCTCGATATTTGACGATTACACGTCAGTGGTACAGTTTAATCTTGCTTTAGGCACTGCGTCCCTAATTCTTGATCCCCCTATGCATATTAACCTCCATATTTGATGGCCACGTACGAGTAGTGACATTTAACGTTTACAGTCCCTTTCGTTAATTCTTCAACGAGCATTCCAGCTTTTGCATATAAACTTTTCTTTTAGATCACCTTCTGCATTCGGTGCCCTCGTCAGAGTCATATTCCACTCGCCATCCATTTCATATCGGAATCTTCACTGTTCAATCAAATTGATCTCGAAACTCATTACAGTTTCTCAGTACTAAACTCTACCTTTACATCGCCTTCGACGACCTCGTCAGAGTCATGTTCCAAGTCTAACGATAACTGCAACAATTAAGAGTTAATAATCAAGAATGTATATAAAACTTTGGAAAAAAAGTTGTTCCAACTAGTCGATGATTTCTCGTAGGTGATAGTCGTGACGGTGGCGTATCGCCTGAACATCCTGGGCTTCTTCACCACGACAGACTCCGAGGCGCCAGGGAATTACGGTATGTTCGACCAGATCGCTGCTCTGGACTGGATTCAGAGAAAGATCCAGTACTTCAACGGATCCCCGTCCAACGTGGTGATCTACGGTCACAGTTCGGGAGCCATCAGCGTAGGTCTGCACCTGATCAGTCCCCTGAGCAAAGGCAAGTTCTCCAAGGCGATCGCCATGAGCGGCGACGCTGTGAGCTCCGTGGGCTCTCCTCGCACGGAGCTGCCCGTGGTGGACATAATCGCTGAGAAATTCGGTTGTTATCGACGGCCCACGTCTGCCCTGATGGAGTGTCTGCGTCGCGTGGACGTGAACATCCTGGTACGCTTGTCTTCGGACATAGAGACTTGGGGTCCGATAGTGGACGTCGAGATCAACAACGCCACGGATCCGTTCCTCCCCATGCACCCCAGAGAAGCGTTAGAGGGTGGTAGCTTGAACAGCGTCCCGTTGATCGTGGGGTACACCAATAACGAGCAGGCCCTGGCCTACATGGAATCCTTGGGCAAAGGGAACGCCAACGGCATGCTGTCGTCCAGTAAATTCGAGATGCTGATCACCGACGACTTCGTTTCCATGGTCCAGAGCCCCGACGACAACAGTACTTGCGAAATGAAGCCGGAGATGGTCGCTGACGCGGTGTTGTTCTTCTATAAACCACATCCTCCTAGCAAGGACGAAGGTGTTCTTCGGGACAGATACCTAGACTTGCAAACCGAGAAGAACTTCGCTGCCGGGTTGACTCTGTTGGCTGGCAAGGTGGCCAAGGAAAAGATGGCTTTCGTTTACAGGTTCGACTATCGTCCCAAGACCCCGTCCGTCACCAAGAACGTGCCCGAATGGGCAGGCGTGCCCCACATGTTCGAGCTTCCTTTCGTCTGGGGACTCCCCCTTGCTCCTGGCAGTTCTATCCAGTGGCAGTTCAGCGACAAGAAGATGTGCGAGGTGATGATGATCATGCTGGCCAACTTCGCCAAAACTGGGAATCCTTCTCCCAATAACATCAAGTGGGAGCCGTACACGGAAGAGGAGCCTGGAATCCTGATCATAGACAAGAACGTCGACATGGGCGACGCTAACGCTGTCGACTACATGGCGCTCGCTTTTTGGAACGAATACTATCCCATGGTTCTCGAGGAAGCGACGAACAATTGCTGCAACATGACCAGCCGCTCTACTACGTGGAGGGAAGCCTCTCGCAGCATTGTTCTGGGCAGTCTTGTCGTAGCTGTGACGTTACAGTGCCTTTAACCGCAGTCGATGTTGGAGATTGTCTTTTTGGTGTGCTCAACGAGGCCTCTTTTGCGCAAACGTTGAACAAACGATGCAAATTTCGATATTTTGGTATACAAACGAATGGGTCCTATCATGTACGACGCCGAGTATCGAGAGCCTCAGTCCGCCAGATTTATTTTGACTCCTCGTTCAAAATCGACAAACAGAAATCGTTGATGTTTAGATAGACATACGCGTCCATCGAGGCGGATTTCGTCGATTTTGAAGTTGGAACAGGTTAGCTACGTAATAATTTGAATGTTGCTTCGACCGTTTTGATATCTGGCTTTGTATGTGTTAGAATCGCAGATGAATACTGTACAAAGTGGATTCACGTCGACGCGTGCATAAAAGAGGCCCAAACATACAACGAAAACATGGACGCATCGGCATCGCTTAGCGATCTATAAAAATAAAATGATAAATTAGTCGCAGAGACAACTGAAACGCTCAAAATATTACAGAGGATGTAGATTTTGTTCCACAAGCGAGGAACCAGGTGGTTTAAGTTCAGGAAATTTTTATCCCGGTATTATTGTAGCGAATAAAAAGATCGAGTACCATGTAATTTGATTTTCCCGCTCGTCGTAGGTCGATGTAATTGGTGTATAAAGGTGTTAAGCGGTCGTTTTTATATAGTCGTTTTCTTTCTACGATAAACAGAATAACAAAAAATAAATGTATAAAAACTGCTTGTGAAATCAAAGAAATTGTTGTAATTCGTTGTTCCTGCAATTATAGTAGCAACTTCCATGGCGAGTAGTTAGAACCAGAACTAATAGTGTGTCGATACTGTTCCGAATGTAAATCGTGTCCTTTAGATACAGGTTTCTAATGTAGACGTCCATGTATTCACCCATCGGAAAGCCTCGACTGATATTATTTGGAAGTAGCCCTGGTCAGTATCTCGTCTGAACTTACACCACTCAGGGTCCATTTGAATCCATTCGACGAAAGGGAAATGGTCTTAGGGTCGGAGCAGGGAGGGAGAACCATCCTGGGATTTTTCATCTGTTTCTTTTCCTCGTATTATTCTTTTTTTGTGTTCTATTTTTGTTTTGTTAACATTCACTGAGAGATTTTTTATTATTTGCTTTAATACGGAGAGATATAGAAAAAACATATATTGTTCGAGAAACAAACGGTTGATATAACTTATGAATATTTTGATGCTTCGATAATAATTAATAATAATAATAATAGTAATAATAATCATCGTGTGTGTGTGTGTATGTGTGTGTGTGTGTGTGTACCGTCTATGTATAATTATTATATTATATTTAAGAGAGAGGTGCGCGGCGGGCGACGCATGGGGGCTGGTGTGGCCTGCGCACGCGCACGTCCAAACATTTCTTTTTGCTTTTTCATCCTTTCCTCCTAAATATATATTTATATATTTATATATATATATATATTTATATACTATCATTAATTAATCATATTTTTTTCTTCCTCCTCATCGTCTTCTTCTTCTTTAATGCAAAACTCCTACAATGATAACCGACGCCACGGGGTCTCGTTAACACTAAAACTCTTTGTGCGCCTGTGTTTGCGCGTGCACACGAGCCACCCCGGGACCAACGTATATACAACATTATTAGTTTTTCCTCTCGCTGTTCCCCTCCCCATCTTCATCATCGTCGTCATCCCGTTGCTCTCTCTGCCTCCCGCCTCCGTCAGTGTCTCATTGTCACCTTCCTTTTGGTGTTCTACAACCATCTGTATTCTCCGTCTCCGCCCCGCTGTGTTGCAACCGTTTACTCGTGATTCCGTCAGCCCCCTCCTCGTCACCAGTATCTGCTTCGTAGTCGCCTGAACCCCTGTTCTCCACTGGTACATCCGGATTTTTTGTTCAAGCAGGAGAGTGTGGGCTTCTGCTGGATCTCTGCCTTACAGAAGTAGGCACAGCGATTTCTTTTTCTGCTTTATCTTCTTCTCTGGCGACTTTTTGTTGATTTGCCGCACTAGATCGTAGAATACCTGCAATGGAGACGGTATGGTTATAGTAAACTGTGTCGTGTGTTAGGGTAAACTCGAAGGAGGTGCGCTTCGTCCAAGGAACTCCGAGAAGCAGAAGGCTTTGGTATTGGCGATGAACGCTAGGTTGCAGTAGAAGTAGTAGAGAACCTCGACAATGTTTCCATGAAGGAACTGGAAAGTCTTTATAAAAGTATGTAGAGAAGATTCTTTGGGTATTTCTCAGCGTGGATGTTGATACATAAATGTAAATAAAATTTATTTAAAATAATTGTCCCCAGACTGTCTCGTCATTCAGCGATTTCTAATTGCGATTTTCTTTACGCATTATTACAGACGCAACATTGTCACGGTAGTAGAGACAGTAATGTTTACACTTGACTTCCATTGGATTCGTTAATCTCTACGATTCCAATTATCCCCAAACAAACGTTCCTAAGTGGACCCTTAATTGCATTCCATGCAGCATTCAATTTTCCTTTATTCGCCCCAAATAATTACCGCATCGCGCATTGGACAAAAGCTGGCCAGTGTGCTTCCCACTCGACGCCACCAAGAAAACCCGTGCCCCAATTACAACGGCTCAATTGTGGAACGAACGAAATAACAAAAGTAACCAAACGCAAGCACGGGAGATGAATTCTCGAGCAAAGGGAACTCGCACGGAATTGCTCGGAGTACGGTTCAACGAGGAATCTTTAAAACGGACTCGACAAAAGAACAAGCTTCTCCTGAGAAAACATGCTCGCGGAGGGAAACAATCGTTACAGGCAACGGATATCCCCATTTGAAGGCTCCGTAAGATGAGATAACTTTAAAACAACAGTTCTCGGTAACTTCGGATGCGACAGTTTTATGGAGAATTTGTTTACAAGTGGTGCTGGGGCTTCTGAAATGGTTAGAGATGGGAAACCAAGCGAAGGTGTTTTAACTACGAGACTTGGTTGAATTAAACTGGTCTCGTAGAATGGAAACTTCGATTCGAGCTGTCTAGAGATAAACTTTTGCTTTACGTTGCAGGAAATCAAATACTCTCATCAGAAGTGTTACCATCGGCGTTGGCATTCTTTAAAATGACGAAATTGTTACTTTAATTCAAGCTAGCTATATTCCCCATGACTCAAGAAGTCAATCATTGGGACAGAGATGTAATCTTCCTCGTTGTCTTTATTTTTATCCACCGAGTAGTGGACATGTAAATTCTAATTCACAGTGTACATGTCAGAAGCCAGAGACTGAGGACCGTAAGTGGCGAATAGCTGGGAGTGCGAGTCGCACTCCCACACTCAGCACAGTTGCATTCCCACATTCAATTAGAATATCTCGGCCTTCGTAACGGTCTTGAACTCCCACACGTCACACTAATTAGAAAACAACAATGGCCTCTCGAACGGACTACTGTTATTTTGTAACAGCGACTCGGCTGTTTTTAAAAACTTACAGAATAACAACTCAATGGCTCGAACGCGTCATCTATCAAGGATACGGTTGAATTTTCAGTCGGTCATTCGAGATACTTCGTTTTATAATTCAGATTCATAGTATATGCGATAACTCAATGGTTTTTAAATACGTAAATAGAGAAAGGAACGTACCTGGCATATCTTAATATGATTGTCAATCTCTCTCATCGCTTCGGGCGAGTCGTCGTAAATAAATTCGGTCGGATCATTTGCTGGAGATCGCGGATAAGAGTCCTGTTCACCGAATATTTACTTTTCTTTTCTTTTCAATTGCATCAACGGTACATAAAGATACGCGACAGTACAAACACACAATAAATGCTACCTCGGCGTAATCACGCCTCTCTTTCGCCGCTCGTGGGAAAGCAATGTAAGTTATCAGGTTGGCAGCAAATGATGCGATGGAGTACGATAACATTTTGAAGCAAATATATAAGATAAAGCAATAGGGCGTTACAAAATATATCAGCAACAGAGATAGGGACACGTTTAAACATAGAATCAGATCTGACGAATTATTTCAAGGGGTAGAGTTTATAAGAAAATGTTGATGGGTTAATGACGATCAATAGGCGAGCATTAAGGCATAGAGACTAAGAATCTGTTTGTAAAAGAGAAATGATACATTCGGGCCATGGTCCATTTTTGCTAAAAATGTAAAGGAAATGAAAAATGATGACCTCCAGCACGTGAACCCCCAATATCCACTAGGACCACTTCGATAACAGAGACCTATCTATAATATCCTAACAATTGAATCCTATTCCGACTCTACACTTACGACTCGTCACAAACAAGAGTCTATTCTCGAGGAATCAATTTTTTTAAGAAGAATAGGTTCCAGCGTTTCACATGCTCTATTCTGCGTCGTGTCAGCTTATTGCCTTCCAAGAATCAGCACCCCCTTCAAAGTTTTCCAACACCATCCATAGAGACAAAAGACAGGGGGATCCTTGCGGTGGGAAGCTCGCTTCTACTCACATCGTAAACATTAATTTTGGCTTTGGCGGAGGTCTCCATGAACGCACAGGCGAATTGTCGGGCAAGGTTGACGCCCTGCTCTTTGCCCACTACCCTCTCGTCCTCCAAGTCGCACTTGTTGCCTACCAGCACCATTGGCACGTCATCTGTGTCCTTTACCCGCAGGATCTGCTCCCTGAGGTCCTGCAGGTCGTTGAACGTTGACTGCGCCGTTATCGAGTACACTAACACGAATCCCTGACCGTTCTTCATATAAAGGTCCCTCATGGCTGTGAATTGTTCCTGCAAACGCAAACAATCTGTTAATTCTGGGATTCCACGCTCAGATTTATCTATAACGTTATTTTATTTTATTCTGTGGACAGGAGAATACGATACAAGAAACTTTGTATAGGCGATTGAAAATTTATTAAGAGAATGGGATATTTGAGAAAGGAGGAGGAAGATTGATTTTGAATGGGAGAAAAGGAAAGAAGGAAAAGAAGAGAAAGATAGAGAGATCTGTTAATCTGTTGATTCTTTGCTAATAGGAATTCTATGCTTAGATTGATCTATAACGTTATTTATATTTATTTTGTTCTATGGAGAGGAGAATATGATACAAGAAACTTTGTATAGGTGATTGAAAATTTATTAAGAGAATGGGATAATTGAGAAAGGAGGAGGAAGATTGATTTTGAATGGGAGAAAAGGAAAGAAGGAAAAGAAGAGAAAGATAGAAAGATCTGTTAATCTGTTGATTCTTTGCTAATAGGGATTCTATGCTTAGATTGATCTATAACGTTATTTATATTTATTTTGTGGACAGGAGAATACGATACAAGAAACTTTGTATAGGTGATTGAAAATTTATTAAGAGAATGGGATATTTGAGAAAGGAGGAGGAAGATTGATTTTGAATGGGAGAAAAGCAAAGAAGGCGTGGAAACAGCTGGCAGACGAACTGCTGGCAGAAAAACTCACCGTTCCGGCTGTGTCTAGGATTTCTAACATACATTGTTGTCCGTCGACCTCGACCTGTTTGCGGTAGCTGTCCTCGATCGTCGGATCGTACTTCTCCACGAAGATTCCTTGAACGAACTGGACAGTGAGGGCAGATTTGCCTACACCTCCACTACCCAACACCACTATTTTATATTCACGCATCTCCTTGCCCTAATTCTCTGTGCGCCTGGTCACAGCCGAGGGGTCACCGAATCCGCCACGTTTTTGCTCCTCTCGTTGCGTTCAGTCGAACGGATCTGCAAACAGAAAAGGAAGTTCCATCTTCACCTTGGCTCGGTAATGATTAACGATACGTGATCATTTGACAGAGGGACGACGACCTTTCGAGCTTTCGGTCTTTGACTGCGAGGCTTGTTTACATTCTGCAGTACATATGGACTGCGGATTTTATGCACTCAGGACGTACAATAATATATAAAACATATTACGTTTTCCCAAAAGTTTCTTCCATTTCATTAATAAGTAATACGTACACAATACTTTACGTCTAATCTTACATTATTAAATTGCGTACGATTCATTTTGCTCCATTACTGTTATACAATATTAACATCTAAGAAATTAGGTTGTCTATTTATATAAACACTGCCACAGAAAATAATTGAGCGCAAGTCATGGAAGAAACTTTGGGGACAACCTAATACATAAGATACATATTTCATTTAGAATTTGTATTTGTTTAAACTTTGATATTACCCACGAAACATATCGACGAATTAACTGTAATTCCCAATGAGATTCTCGAACACTGGATTAATTTAAAGTTCCACTTGGAATATCACGATAAAAACTGGAGGTAATCGCGTCGGTCTAATTTTAATTTTTCCATTTGGAATCCATAAGGCGAGAGAACTCGCCGTCGCCGAGGACGCGTTAGAATCGCGAAATTTCATTTACGACGAATGACAAAGAGCACGCCACCCGGATTTCGCGGATTTTTTTTCCACCTTCGTTGTCCTCACCTCGGAAACATTTTCCCTCCCGATGCTTTGTTTGTAAATGAAAGATGGCCGCCGGAGGGGTTCACCCACTTTTTCCACGAGAACTGCGGAACAATAAAACGTCGCGTTTTCGGTTCCCTTTCCGAAATGGACGGTAGTAATTATTGTAAATCACCAGACGCTTCTTTCGAATCGCGATTTTTAGACGGTAATTAGAAAATATTTTTTTTTTTTTTTTTGGAGAGGGCCCGGGGAGAAGGCAATGCGAAAAAGAAATTTGCGTTTGTTCATGCAACCGTTGCTCTGTGAAAATATTTTTGGTGGACATAAATATCGACATTGAAAATACAGGAAATATTTTGATGTCTTTGTCAGCAAAACGATATACGATATCGATAATGAATATTGCATGGATTCCACCTGAAATCGATTGTCTATATTCACGGGTTGAACAAAAAATCGGATTTGCATTCCTGCTATGGGGCAGCTTCCTGCACGTGAAAAATACTCTATGAAATTGGTTGGAAAAAATTTGAATTACAAGCACGTTCTAATAATTTACACCTGTAATAATTTAAAGCCTCGATTCGATACCATTTTAAATGTTATTAGGTTTATTCGCGAGTACGTTCTCGAATTTCCTTTGAAAAAGAGAGAAACAGTAACTTCGTAAAAATGGTCTGAAATTCATGGAAATATAATCACGAATACGCTTTCAAAGTTTCTTCGTCTGCTCCCGTCGTTTAACTAGCGCACTGCGCCTGCTTCGTGCACGCAATGCGCCATTTGTCTTAAAAACTAGACAAACCCAGTCGGATTGAAACGAAAGCATCTCGCGCAACGAGTATTCTCGTATGTAGGTTAACGAAAAAGTATTCGAGAAATTAATTACAGCGGATCGATCCGATGGGAAACCAAGTACAACAATTATTACAAATGTAATAATGATTTTAGAAAATGGCGCGAAGGATACTTTATCGATTTGGACGATTTGAAAAAAAGGTATGGAGTCACGAGAGCCTCTCATCGTTCAATATTCCCAGTTTGGCGATCAATTATTATCTGGTCTTCGACTTTTCGAGATAATTTTCGAAAAGGAACCACGCTACAAAAATTAATTCAAACGAATACGTTACCAACAAAATAAAAAAAAAAATTATTTAAAGTGGCGATCATTAGCAATGCACCATTTTAATAAAACGCCAAGTACGATCGTTTTGAATGCTCGTCTAAAAAATGTTGCTAAATACTCTCTTATTATTTGAATGATCTAAAAAAAAGATTCGTTCACTTATCATTTATTATTACCAGTTTAAATGTTCCACGATTTTTGGAAACGAAGGGTCGCGAATGTTAATTAATTCGTTCAGACGGCGCGTGTAATATATCGTGCTCGTCCCTGCAAAATAATTATACAGTTAAGAGTTTAAGAGCGGCGGAATTCGCGGTGCGCGAGAGGAAAATAGAGCGAAAATTCGCCACGAGTACACGAGTACGGGAAAACAAGGCGCGTACGCCGATTGGCCGACGATGCCATCATGGCGACGGGCCGTGACCAATCCGCGCCCGCGGATTTCTTTTCACCGATTCGTCATTGATTTTAGGTTTATGAATGGGGACCGCTTACGCTACCGCGTCCCTTTCAAAGATACTACGAGCGCTCGAGTCCAACTTGAACTGAATCTTGCGCTGCTACAGATGAATCCTGACGTTCCCCATTAGGATCGTCACTGAGGAAATATCGCGATCGTTCGTTGCAAATTATAGTTTACTCGAAGAGACCTCGCGTTAGGAATAATGGCCTTATTCCATGTCGCTTTTAAAGGCTAAGAGAAATGATTGGCCACGATACTGACTGAATTTATTCTGTTTAATAGCTTTATATTATTTATCTTGGATCGGTAGCTTCATATATTAACCTATTCACTGGCAGACAAATTAAAAGCGTTTTGCCTTAGATTATTATATCAATAATAAAAGATAATATCAAATTTGTTGTTTCAAAAAGAAAATTTACTCAGAAGACAGAAGAAAGAAAATTGAAATTTGTATCGCTTTTCATTATAAAAATAACAACCTAGATTACACATCTGTATTAAATCTTGACGCCAAGGTAGAAGATTATCAACCTAGATCAATATATTTTAACGAAAAAGGTTCTATTCTAGATTGTAAAATCTTTCTAAATAGGCCAATGTTTGAAACGTAAAATTTGAATTAATTAAAGTAAGCTTATCTCGAGGAATTTACGTTTTTAAGTTTGGTATCTAGAAGAGTTTGCCGGAAGGGTTGAGGGATAAGAATCTTTGGAAGTACGAAATCTGTCCCCAGTCTGAGCACCTCGAAGAGCAACAACGTATCCTCGACGATGACGACTGGAGTGACGCGGAATGCGACGCATTTTCGTCCGAGGAGACCCTCTTCCGCGATACCGTGCAGCCAATCAAGGGGTTTAAGCGTTTCCAGCTTCGCTGGGGTTAGAGCCTCGAGTGTCGGGAGTAACTCCCATCCGGGAAGGAAGACGGTCTATAAGTTCAACGATTCCATTTGCCTGCGCACACAGGCGAAGTCTGCGCCGGAAGGGTGACGAGAATTGAGGGGGAGAGCCCGATAATATTGAAGAACGACGCGAAACTTGCTGCCAACGATGCACCAGGACATCCATCTTCTTCGAATGATGAAAACGTTTGCATCGGTGCCAACCCTTTGATGGGGCTGATTTTCATGCGAATGATAGAATTAGGAATATTTTACTACCAAATTTTATTTAAAGGTAAGTTTTGTTTGAGATATGAACTCGATAACCATGTGCGATTGTGGCTTAAGGACTTTATGATATAATCACGAATAGGAATGGAACTCGAGATGAAGTTTGGATAGGTGGAAATGAGGTTTGATGCACAGCAAACTGAATGCATGCTTGGATCTTAGGTGGAAATGAGGCTTAATGTTCAGCAAGCTGAATGAATCCTTGTACCATAGGTGGGAATAAGGCTTAATGTCCAGCAAACTGAATGCATGCTTGGATTTTAGGTGGAAATGGGGCTTAATGTTCAGCAAACTGAATGAATCCTTGTGCCATAGGTGGGAATGAGGCTTAATCTCCAGCATACCGAATAAATTCTTGCATCATAGGTGGAAATGAGGCTTAATGTCCAGCAAATTGAATAAATCCTTGAACCATAGGTGGAAGTGAGGCTTAATGCCCAGCAAACTGAATGAATTCTTGAACCATAGGTGGAAGTGAGGCTTAATGCCCAGCAAATAATAAATTCTTGCCTCATAAGTAGAAATGAGACTTTGCCCAAATAAATCCTCCAACCACATGTTGCTACGGGGCATAACAGAAGGCCTACCACCCTTTACCGAGTCTTCAGCCACATTCCCACTCATCCACCAGGTCCCAACGCGTGTGAACGAGGTTTAAGACGTTCCAAGCGCGACTCATGACCAGAAACGTCCACATTCTGCGTCAGTAAAGAGTCCAGTAAAGTTCCACCGTTTTAATTCCTCGCTCGATCACTTCGTCCCCTATTTGGTATCACGTGCTTCTCGAGATATGAAAGTACGAATAGTCCCAACGAATTTTCATTATTCAACAGGGGCTCGACGACAATAAGGGACCTACGACCTCGCGGATTCCTCCACGGAGTGCAAAGACAAAATCAATTCTGCAGGGTGGGTTGATTAAATCGCAGCCCGCGAATCAGCAACAAGTCGACGGTATCGTGACGCGATCGAACCCTTTGGCGGACGTCCAAAAAACTTTTCCCTTGTCGGGGAAAATATATCGGTATCCGCATACGTCCGCAGAGGGAGAGAACGTTCGACCGGTGACCCAGTTATTGCGATTCGCGGCGAGTTCTGCCACCCTTTTCCCAGCCGAAATTCTAAGCTCCGCCCGTGAATGGAACGGATTGCCAGAAACGTCCAAATTCGAGAGATCAATATTGCTAACGTGAATGTTATTTACTTCGCGTAGTTATCGTTCGAAGCGTTAATTTTGAGCTATTTCTATTCCTTTTCTCTTTAAATCTATAAGAAATATTTATCCGTATCTCAAGTATATACACAGTTTATTTTTAATCAAAATAATCAAACTTAAACGTCGTGGTTTTGTACAATCCCTTTTGAAGAAAGTACACCCTTAAAGCAAATATCAATTTTTTTTCTTTCTTTTCAAAACTTGAGACATTCCTTCGATTTTACTACGAACTTGAAACAAAATTCTTGTTCAAACTAGAATAGAAAGTCCTCTCTCCTCCAAATTTCTTTTCGAAAATAAGAAAAAAAAAGGCTTCGAACTCTCCAAAC